TTTGCCTTGCTAAGGTGTGGTCATGGAATTTGCCATTGGTTCTGAAAAATATTTTAAAGCTGTACTCACCTCAAATCTGTGGGGGAGGAGAGAGTATTAGCCGCTCGAAAATTTGACAAGTCGAGTAAAACATGAGTTTTGTGCGATTTTTACTATAATACTTCCATCGATAGCTTTTCCTCGGCCGAATACTACTCAAAATTTCGTCGAAGGCGTCACTCTGGTCTCTCATTCCCTTCGTGACCGTACTGCAATGCACATAGAGCGGAGATAGTAAGTATATTATAGTTTTCCTGCTTGTTGGGGGCATTTCGCTTTAAACCGATGCCGGTATTAAGGATATAAGCTTTTGCCTCATCTCATGTATTACTTTTCGCATAGCCAACAAGCACCTAGCTAGACTCCTGTAGTAGACTAAAAAAAAAAAACCTTTTTAAAAATAGTTTTTAGAAAGCACATTTTTAATGTTGTTTTTTTATCATTTTTTTTAGTTTTAACGCAAAAAAATATCCAGGGCTTCCCCGGCAACGCATGGCATTAGTTTCGAATCACGATCGGATAGGACTTCTTCAGGTAGTCCGTGTTGCACGAATAAACGATCCTGATACTGTTGAGTTATCTCCATTGATGTTGCAATAGTAGTCGTTGCTAGAAAATGAGCTCGCTTTGTTAGTCGATCTACAACTACCATGATGGCATCGTAGCCTGATTTCGTCTCCAGAAGCGCTGCTATAAAATCCATGGCAAGACGCGTCCACCTTGCGGCTGGAATTGAATGAGATCGCAAAATCCTGGGGGGTTGCAATTACGGACTTTGGTTGTCTGACACACTTCACAGGATCGAACGTATGCTCGAATGGAACGTTCCATATTCCGGCAATAGTAGTCTTTTTCTACGAGCCGGAGTGTTCGTTCGACACCCGGATGACCATACCACTTGGCATCATGAAATTCGTTTAACAACAGCAAATCAATTATCTCTGGAATATTCGGTAATCTAGGCGAGGCTGTTTTTGACGGTGGGAATTAATAGAGGATTTTATTCCGAGATGTACATTCTTTTTGAGAACCCCATTACTATCAGTTACAGTAATTCCTACATCAATTATAGCATACTATTAAATTATGGGGTATGACATCTTTCTCTGCAACCGTAGGCAATTCGTCGACAAATCTTGAGTGTGTCCAGTTTAGCCAATAGCATTGCTCACATTTTAGTCCAAGACCCAGACACGGACGGAGAAACCAGAGCCTAAGGCGCGCTCTTAACAGCGGTAAAATTGTAGAATATTTAGAACACTAATGCCGTGCTGCGCCCGGGAAGCTCTGGATATTTGGATACTCAATATTTAATATTATAATATTTGTCTATAGGAAGAAACTGAAGCGCGAATAAGGATGGGTCCCCACTTCGCCAGCGACACTTGGACTTTTAACTTTTCTTAGTTGAGAGGAGCAATCCCAACCAAACGAAATTGCCGCTGAGGTCCAAAACCCAGAGACAAACCAGACGGATCAGGAGCGTTCGCAGTCGTATAAGAAGAGGGCAAGAGCCTTTAAGAAGGCCAAGACCGACTAAACCTTCTTGTCGGCAACCTAGGGTAAGCAAATCGGTTCGGACAATCGTATGGCCAGCATTATATACCAGC